GAAAGTCTACTTCAAGACAGTCTACCGAGAGTATTTTTCACCAACTTAGGATATCATTAGAATAACTTCCAAAGGACCAAACGTTTTAACTGAAAACTGAAAATAATTTTTGACTTAAAACTAACAGATACGAGGACATTTTAGCCGAAGGGGTGCTCGGGTTTAGAACTGATGAAGCTTTAATCAAAAATCAATACCGTGGTTCATCGAAAACTAGACCTCGAAAAATCCCTAGGGACCAAACCTAAACTAAAAACGTCCCATATCCGAAAAAATATCCCAAAATGTATGAAATATTCCCTTCCACACAATTAATGTATAATATATACCGCCTTTCTTTGATTATAAATCTTATCGAGAGAATTGTTTTGCCAAAATCATATATAAACGGTTTTTATTTTGCAAGAATCTCAAACCGTACTAAGGTTTGTATATTCTACGCAAAAGTGTTATAACAAAGAAATCCCAAAATCGAGAGCCACACAAACCCAGAAAAATTCCTCGCACCTCCAGTCCTCATTTTAAATGACAAATGTCCTGAAAGTGATAATCTCGACAGCCTCAGTGTCTCATTAACTCGTGAAACTGATTAACGCCGTACGAAACACCTGCAACGGTGCAAAATTCGACAACTTGTGTCTAAACAAACTGACAGATGTCACTAATGACAGAACTTCACAACGGAAGACTGACACTGAATTCGTTACATCCCCTGTCACATCCTGGTACCTCGGGAAATTACCACGATACGGCACAAGAACTACAGAATTACAAGGCAAAATCATACCCCAATTCGTTACGTTCATTTCTCTAGCTTGAAAAAGCAGGTTGATTGTAATTCCAGCTCTACTTTACGAATTTGTCTTATAATGAAAAATAGTACCTTGCATGCACGCAAAAAGGCGTGAATGCATTCTACAACGTTCGACGTTTCTCCATAGTTTCACACGAAACTGTTTTCTATTTTCTGTTATTCTGATTTAAAACTGAACCCCAATCACCGCACGCTTAACTCAAAAATGCCCTCACAGAGTCACAATTTTTTAAAACGTACCATTGCGATATGAAGTCGTAGTTGTGTGAAAGAGGAGAGACCATGTGGGGTACTGGACAATGACGAACTCCTAAAGACGAAAGCACAAAGTAGACAAATAAATATAAATCAACAGACTGTTTAACTGAACAATTTTCTCTAATCAATACATTCAGTGCTCACTTTCGCTAAATTCACAGTGAGAATTTAAAACGCTTCTATTTTGAAGTGGCTTCCCAGTGGTAATTAAATTTGTATTAAAATTAATTCATAAAGCGACTTCCAGCACTGAACGAACAAAACACACATTATTTATTTTAAGAACCTCTTATGTTTACTATAAAAATTGTACATTATAAGTTGTCCTTTACCTTCTCTTTCGCAGCTTCGTAAGTCTCACCGACAAGGGCTCTGTTTGCTCGAACTTCTTTCTGGTTGAGCTTGTAGCCTCGTCCATCTGTTTCTCATCGTCAGAATCTTCGTTATTTACAGCCTCGTAATCGTGTGATCTCGGCCGGTCTTTGCCCTGCATTTTCCTTCTTGCTTGTCGCTGCCAAAGTGACAGCTGCCGACTAGGAAGGTTCTTTCATTACGAATGAAGTTCGAAGATCAACTTCATTCGTAATGAGCGGAAACGTATCCTATTTGTCTATAGTGCATTCAGGATTTTTTAAAAGATTTTAACATCATTTTACAGTTACTGTAGTGTAAGGCCTCACTTGAACTCTTACCACTTTCATTCAAAATGCTACTGAAGGACAACATCCAACGATTATAGAAGTCTATAATGCTTGGCATTTTAAACCTCTGGTCATCATAATAAAAAGTTTGGTGCTGCCATTATAAATTAAAACCTGCAGCTCGATGTATGTTCAACAATTATCTCGGCGGTGAAATCAAATGCTTAAATCATGTTATATTCTTTCAAGATTAAGTCAGCAAAAATAATTTCTTTTCTACAGCTAAAAGAGTGTGGTTGTGTAACGCTTTATTAAGGTGGCGGAAGTCTTCTATAGCGCACTCCAAGTATAGCAGGTAACCAGGACTTGCCGATCATACAGGTATATGGAGATGGTGACAACTTGTTAAAACATAATTGAATGACCCACTTATATTATCTTCAATGCGAAAGTCAAGTTGTAACAAGTCATTGCACGAAACTGTCGCAAGTTGTCAGGGATTTTTCTTGACGGATAAAATGTAAATTTTCCAAACTGTACCTGTTTACTTATGCCCGTATTTTTACATTAAAATAATGCGTTATTACAGTCTTTCAATGTTATTTGTTTGCTTGTTTGTTTGTTTATTTTCTATTGTCCTTGAACAACACGGTCTCGTAAATTTTCGAAATATTTCCTGACAACAAAACTCAGGTTTATTTTGTAAAAATGATACTGTTTTGGAACAAGACTGTTAAAATTAAAATTGACGATGTAGTTGTGACGAACTATTTAGTTGGATGCGACACGATTGTCATTTCGGATCAGTGGGCTAACTAAGTTCTCAGACTGATTTGAATGACGGTATTTGTAGCATTGAACAAATATTAAGATTGGGAGAATCTTGTACAAGCCGACCCGTCTAAAAACACGAGTTAACAACCACGGAGTGTAATGCTAAATTTATAAACAAAAATCACTTCATATGGGCCTTTTAACGTGGAAAGTCACTTAGAATATATTAGCCGGCTTCCTATAATTTACTAAGTGCTTCGAAGCGAAACTGACAAATTCATTTTATAGTTACAAAAAAAGAAAGCCTATGCAAGTGACGCGCGTTTTAACTGCGTTTATAAATAGCTCGTTAAAACTCATCAAAACTTATACAGCTACATGTACACGTGCAAAGTTCCTGAAGTCCATTCGATTTAATTCTACCGACAAAACACTGATGTACCGTTCCGTATCGCTTTCCCACACTATGAACCTCATTTAACATGCAGCGTTCTATAAATAAGTTCAGCCTGCTAACAGGATAAACTGTTGTACAACGACCACGTTTAGTCACTTGTTACTCATACAACGACATCAACATAATAATAGTTGTTAGAATTTTACTAACCGGAATAAACCGTCAATTTTGTATCGGACGCGTCGGAGACGTCTTGTAATTCACTGCTCATTTCGTGTTGAGGTTCATCCATTTCCGCGCCGTTAAGTATAGCTGTTTACATTTTCATTCTTCAATCATGACAGTTCCTCTCCGTTTGATTCGACGAAACGAAGCAGGAGATACTCCTGGATTAATTGTTCAAGGTTTCCCACTCAAATATTCACCCACTACCGACACGTTGAACAAACAAATACAGGGAATAGATTCAGCCGAGATGAAAGCTTTCCTTGATTAAACACAATTTGCATAAAGTTTTCCGCGTCTGTCCTTTAAAAATGCTTTAAAGCCCCTTGTGGGATTTTCGCATCAGTGAGCACGAAATAAAAAAAAGAAAAACTGAAAACCACGATATTCATGAAACAAACGACATAAACCCGCTATTCTCGAAGAATACATGTTGCCACAAAATGGCAAACTGATAGCTTTATAAAAGGTTTTACAACTAGACACCAATAAAATGACCGCAATTACAAAAATCAAAATTTACAGAGTAAAACGGTATTAACAGGCGCAGCAGTTTTTTTTATAAATAACTTAAGTAAGTGATATTATTCGTCAAAACCTTGCGGTAATTTGATGTGTAAACTGACTATAGCCATTGCAAATACACATTCACTCCCGAGAATAAATTTGTTTAAATATAAACGTGTTTAAAAAATTGCATGAAAATACTGAACTGATACTTTTTA